AGAACCTCGAACGGACCGATGAACCGAGGGTGCAGCTTCCCTCTCTTTCCAAATCGCACAACTCCGCGAATCGGACGAACTCTAAGAAAGGCTGGCTCGCCAACCTCGAACTGAATGTCTCGTCGATGATGATCGGCGGAAGATTTCTATCAAATCTGAGCTGTCCTGAGTCTCTGCCGGATCAACTCGACCTGCTCTGCCGTCTCCTCGATCATCTTCGGACCGAGTACTCCTCGCTCTCCGACGTCGTCCCAATAGAGAGAGGAACGACACTTGCGACCGTAAAGTGCCTCGTAAGGAGCCATCTGAATGGAAGAATGATAACTGTTGTTATACGCGAACTCGGCGTACGACAACAACGACTCCCACTTAGCACCCCTGTCAACAACCAAAGCGCGAAGCATATCCTCAAGCGTCTGAATGGTCCGTTCTGACTGACCGTCCGTCTCCGGATGGTAGGCTGAACTGAACTCTAGCTTCGTGCCCATCGCCTCATGTAAACTGTGCCAGAATCTACTGACGAATCTGGGATCTCTGTCTGATACAATCGTAACGGGCACTCCGTGGAGTCGGATGATCCCACGGCTATATATCTCAGCCAACTTGTCCAGAGACATCTTCATCGAAACGGGTAAGAAATGCGCGACCTTAGTCAATCTGTCGACCACGACTCAGATAGCATCGTGATGTTCAGACGACCTCGGTAATCCTGTAACGAAATCCATCGTGACTTCCTCCCACTTCCACCTCAGAATCGGCAGTGGCTGCAGGAGGCCGATCGGACTCTGATGTTCGACTTTGACTTACTGATAGGTAAGACACCTCCTGACGAACTCGGCGACGTCCTTCTTCATACCTCGCCACCAGAACGACCCTTTCAGGTCGTGATACATCTTCGTGCTCCCGGGATGGGCCTAATAGGGGGCGGTATGAGCCTCTGATAAAATCTCCTTCCGCAACGCCTCGACCTTTGGGACCACGATCCTGCCTCTGAACTCTAAGGCACCATCGGCACCTAACTGAAAATCCTCGACGCTTCCGGCGCGAACCTTGGCCTCCATAACATGAATGAACTCGTCAGAAGCCTGCTCTCGCCGGATTCTCTCTCTCAGTGTCGGCTGAAGCTGCATAGCATTGACACTGGCACTGGTACTCCCCGAAACGGCTAAGGGAAGTGCATCGATCCCCTGAAGCTGCATCCGGGCAAATTCCTGAATCAACGGACTCTGCTGCGTAATGACGTACGTCAAGTCACCCCTCACCTTTCGGCTTAGGGCATCTGCGACGACGTTCGCCTTTCCCGGATGATACTGAATAGAGCAGTCGTAATCCTTGACAAGCTCGAGCCAACAGCGCTGTCTCATATTAAGCTCCTTCTGCGTGAAGATGTACTGCAGGCTCTTATGATCTGTGAAAATCTCGCAACGTCCGCCATAAAGATAATGT